AGGAAAAGGAGAAGGGTAAAAACCACATCAAATGTCCATAATGATTCTCAGGTCTAGTGGATTTCAGGGTATTTCCTTAGAGTCCTTTTTAACATACATAGTGAGATTGCTTTGCAGTACTGACCATTAACCATAACTAAAGTAGGAACATCCATGGGTCACAGTTAGACAATAATTTCAAACAAGACTTGTGGTAGCATAATGTCTGATAGTGTTTTATTGGGTTCTGTAAATGAAAAAGAGAAGCTATAATTTCTTTTTTTGCATTGAGTGTTAAAGTACAGGAAATCATTACTCAAGATTCAGGGCAGTGGATATGGCTCCTATGTTGCTCTTTGCTACTCTTTTACCTTATTCCTTTCACAGAAATAGGAAGCTTTTTGTTTAGCAATTCTGTTGGCAATGTCTCATCCATAAGTAATTAGCTATTGTTAACGAAGATTGGAACAGAACAACACCAATTAAAGTTTTAAGTGGTTATCCAACATGGTAGGAGTTTCTGCATGGACTCGGAGATGAACTTAGCTTGGGGGAAAGTATTCCTGATGCTGAGGAAATACTTTAAATAGAAGGGAGAGTTCTGACCACATTTCTTTCATGGGCTTTAGCATCAACCTGTTGTTTTTATGGTGATTAGAGGTGGAGATTTAGAGCTCTGATCCAGGGATTTGGAATGTTACCTGGGAAAGACATGAGACAGGGAAGGCGATCAGGCACAAACTAGCCTCACTAGCTTTGCAGAATGGTCTTCTCTTTAGACATCTCCATTTTCAGTATATGCCTTTAATGTATGCAACCTTTCTTCCTTCAAAGAGAGCCTCTCCTATTCTGAGTTCTCAGAATTAGTGTTATCACCTGCCATCCAGGTTCACAAAGGGCCACCTCTGAGAACAGGAACGTAACATTATAAGAAGAATTTAGCTTTTGAAGGTCTACAGATCCAGGTCAATTCCAGCCTCAACACTTTTTAGCTGTGTGCTCTTGGGTAAGTCTCAACCCTGAAAGAATTTAACTCTCTTGCTTGCTCTTGTTAAGAAAAGAGAATAATAATTCTAAAGCATCTAGGTAGCACAGGTTCAACACACCTCTCTACCCTTCTTTACCTGAGACATCAAATATGGCAGATCACAGCAAGCCTGTGCATGGGCACAAGCACAGAAAGGCTCAGCTCCCAAGCCCTCTTCTTTGTCCCCCACTCCTGGCAGCATGGATCCCCCTTGGACTCATCCAATGGCCAATATTGCCTCCTCTCCCTTTGGTAAGCAACAATGACATGAATTGAGAAAATACCTCCCCTCAACCAGCCACCTCACCCCACTCATGTGTACATCTGTTCCTTTGTCAGTCTTCAGAGAAGAGTGATAATACCAGTCATTTTGCAGAGGCCAAATTAGGGCTGGGAGGACAGGGGAGCCAAGGGGTTGGGCTCATGATGGGGCTGCTGCAGGATAAACACTGAGGTGCTAAAGGAGCCAGCTCTGCCAGCTGACAGCTCTTTCCCTTCACAACAAATATGAGAGCAAGCAAGGTCCTCCTGCCTAGAGAGCCTATCCTTAGCTTTGCATTCATGATTATCATCGACAGTGTATCTTGCAACTTTAAGGATGTTTCAGTCATTGCACGCAGAGGTTTTGCTCTTTTCCCTGTCTTCTCTTCCAGGTTGCTCCCTGACCCCTCCTGCACCCCCGTCTTCCTACCCCAGGTGCCACTTTCTCTCTCTCTTTCCTCTTCCAAAATCATTTTCTGTATGAAAGAATGTCAGTGGCACGAATGAAAACTCAGCAGGGTTTGGAGTCACTGTGACAAAGAGGAAAGAAACATTTGTATGTACTCAATATTCTCCAAGATAGTCACCAGAAGTTTCATTTAAAGTCTTTTCCTTATCTTAAAGCCCCTGACATGAATATATATCATGAGGTTGAAAAGACTGCCTTGCATTTCCTCAGCTAACTGCTGGGATTCACAGAGGTATGAAGGCCTGGGTCCCTGGGTGTAACAAGCTGCAGCGTTTTACATTTGGCTTCTTGTTGCTCTTCTTTTTTTCTCAGTGAACACACACTAACAGGTTTGTCTCTTTATTGTGCTGTGGGGATGGCTGAAAATGTACTCTGTATCACTTGATGAAAGACCTCTGCCAAGAAAAAGAATAGTTCTCTCACTTGAGTACATTCCCCAGGGGTTTTGAGATGAGCTTGAGGACTTAATGAGATGTTTTTGAGCAGCGATACTGCCTGATGGGTTTAGGGCAGATGCTTCTGTAGGGGGGTCATTGGCCCCAGGAGGTGAAGGAAACATCCAGGTTTTCACATGGATTGGTGTGCCGGTTGATGGTCTCGGTCCCTGACAGCCAAGCAGTCAGGTTGAGCGAGGTCTGGTGGTTCATTCATTCACACTGGTACTAGCATTTTTTGAGATTTTGCTACTCTCTTCCTTGGGCCTCCTGGGCTCAGGGGCAGTGCTTGTGGAAATATGTTGGATTATGGGGCATTACAGCAGGTGGGATCTGAGTAGAGGCAACTCACTGAGACCATAACCTGAGAAGGTGTATCTCCCCTCTCAGCTCTACCTTTCTTTCTCTGGATCCTTGTCATGATGACATGACCAACTTCCCTCTGCTGTCCCTCCCTGCCATGTCATTTCTGCCCTGGAATTGGCTAATCATGGACTTGGTGGGCCATGGTGGGCCAAAATAAACCTGGCCCCCTTTAAGTTTCTGTATTGGTTATTGTGTCTCAGTAACAAGAAAGTGGCTAAGACAGATTTTGGTACCAAGAGTAGATACATTTCTTGAATTACCTGACTATGTGACACGGAAGACTTTGAAACTGTTTTATGGGAAGAGTTTGGAAAACTTTGAAGATGCTGGTTAGAGAAATTCCAGAATGCTGCAGCCAAGCTTCATGGGAGATTTTGATTAGAGCTTAGAAGACCCAAACGCAGAAAGAGATATAGATGATGAAGACCAGTCTCAGAAGTTTTCACTTGAAAATAAGGATTCCATTGGCAGTTGGACTCAAAGTCATGAGGTTATGCTCCAGTAGAAAATTTATTTCATGTTCCAAGACTTTGTGAGAGATTGAGATATAGGGCAGTGAACTAATTAATCTGATAGAGAAAATCTCAAGGCATTCCAATATTCAGACTGTGGCACAGATACTGTTGAGAGAGAGCTCTACAGTTTTAGAACCAAGAGTAAATGACACAGCTGAGTGATTTTAACAGTTTTGAGCTTCACAAGAAAGGAAGCCAATATAAAGATGACTCTTGTGAAGCTGGGACCTGTAAAATTAGTCAAGGAGAGTCTGGTTGTTGAAAAGATTAGAATTAAAAAACCAGGTACTTTGCATCAGGACAAGTGTCTTTATAGCATCTCATAAATCCCTGTCTTTATTCCTCAAAGTTTCAAGGGCAAAAAGCTGTAAAGCTTTCATTAGAGAAGAGAGCCCCAGGCCACTTGCTCTAAAAGGGCTGCCTTGGTACTTGTTTTCAGAGATTCAGTTCATGGTTCTCCATCATCCACACCCGTGGAGGCCTCTGCAGCCATGAACCAAAGGAGCCTAACTGCTGCTTGAACTGATGGAAGAACTTGGCATCAGCCACCCTGTGATGGTTTTAGGCTATGTAAAATGCAATTATTGTGGGTTCAAGCAGATTTCTACACAAATTTCAAAGGCAGGCATGGGAGGGCCCGGAAGTGCGTCCCTGAGAGAGAAATAGGTAAGTGGAAAAGTGGTGCTGAAAATTCAGTGGAGATGCCCAGAAGTTGGAGAAAATAGAAAAGTGGAGAAGACAGGAAGTTGGAGGAAAGCCAGAGGAAATGAGCAAACCATAGGAAGACTGAAGCCATAAAGGCTGCACCCTCTAAACCCATAGGGACTAGGGCCACCCATGCCCATTGGAACCCATCTGCTGCTCCAAATGCTAGATAAGGAACTAAAGTTTGCCCTACTGGTTTTCAATCTTGTGTTGCTTTCATTCTTTTTTATCCCCTTATGTTTGCCTTTTGCAATGGGAATTTTTATCTTGTACTATTTTTTTTTTAATATCTGCATTCCCTACAACTGAGTTTATCTTAAACCTCAAAGGTGACTTTGGAGTTAGAATTTTCAACTATATTAAAACTGTTAATATTTTGGCAACTCTTAGAGATGGAACAAATGCACTTTGTAAAAAGGGTGGGTATAAACCTTTGGGATCCAACAGTGAAATGTTGTGGTTTTAGTATGGAATGTCTTTTCATAGTCAGATGCTTGTGGAAGTTGACTGGATTAAGGGGGCACTACAGCAGGCTTGCTGCTAGGAGGTATGGCCGGGTAGGTCACTGGGGATGATGGAAGGATGTGTCTCTCTCCCTGGATCCTCCCTTCTCTCTCTGCTTCTTGGCCACCATGACATGAGCAGTTTTCCTCTGCTTTGCTCCTCTGTCATGTGATGTCTGCCCTGGAGCTGGCTGGCCATAGACTCTAACCATGAACCAAAACAAACTTCTCCTCTGTTAAGCTGGGAGTATCAGCAACTCTATCACAGTGACAAGGAGGTGACTAAGACACTGCTGGAGTATGTTTCTAAGGAACTAACAGCCTGCATCAGTTTTATACAGTTGCTATAACAAATTACCCAAACTAGTTATCTTGAAAGAAGGAAAATATATTCTCTCCCATTTTATAGGACAGAAGACCAAAACTGAGGAGTGGGTAGGGCTGGTTTCTTCTGGAAACTCTGAGGTAGGATCCATTTCACGTTTTCTTCTGGATTCTGGTTATCTCTCATAATTGTTGACATTCCTTGGCTCATACATAAGTCATCCCAAATTCTGTCCCCATTCTCATATCATCTTTTCTGTGAATTTTCTCTCCTCTTATGAGGACATCTGTCATTGGATTTTTGAGGTTTATCCAGTCTGTCCCAGATGATCTCATCTCAAGGTCCTTAATTACAATATCTGCATAATTTTTTTCAAGATAAAAAACCAATTGTATTTTGACACTTCTGACTGGGTATATTTTTGGAAGGTTTTTATTTAACCTACTACACAGACTTATTCCTAAAAAGAAGATAAAGATATTGGCAAGAGGGTCAAAGTTGAGGTAAGCCATCCATCTGTGTGGGAGCTTTCCTTGTGCACTGCCTAAGTGTGCTGGGACAGTGAACTAGGTTTCCAGAAGACTGAAGAAAATTTCAAGGGATACTGTAATAAAAGGAAAAGATAGAGTTAACTGAGACTTACATGCAAAGCAGAGTCCATAAGAAGTACATATGGCTTGACAAAAATCCCATGAAGAGTACATCAGAACCCCCAGGATGGGAAAAGGTGCATGAAGAACAACATCACTGATTGCCAAAATCATGAGGGATGCACACCTATGAACAGTGTCACACAAAACAGCTGGAAGTAGGCAGGAATTCAATTCCAACTGCCTGGTTTGCACATTATATCCTAGATGCTTCCAGGAGCTTTCCAGTCTCTGAACCACCTGAGTTTGGGAAGCTTCCACCTCTCCATACACCTACCTCCCAGCCACTAGGGTAGTCCAGTGCTCCTATGGTCTCCCCAGCTGGCCTTTGTGAAGTCACCCAGCTTACTTCTTCATACTTTCCTGCTTCCCATTGCATGTGTTCTCTCTTCCTATTATGTGCTTGCCAACAACATCTGACTTTTCTCATCTTTCACCAAGTGAGAAACAGGAAAGACACCGAAAAGGTGCAGTCCTTGGGGGTCCAGACATTCTAGGTTCTAGGTGCCAGTTCCAACTCCTACAATCTTGCTTACTTAGTAAGTCAATCTCTTTGGGCACATTTGATCTTACATAGAATAAGAGCCAGTAATGAAGAGAGAGCGTGTCTGCTCTGCCTAGTTTGTCAGGTCACTGTATGTATCAAATGAGATTATTTCTTGCTCTGTAATAAATTAATACACTGCTCAGGGCTGTCACAACAGCAATGTGAGGTCAAGGTAATTTACTGGCTTCTCTCTCCACCTGTGTTTGCAGGGGGGCAGCCAATACCAATGTCTGTGAGTGCTGGCTGCTAATGTTTCATAGCTCCTACCCCAGGAGGATCCATGTCTCTTTCACAAGCAGCAACTCAGCCCACTGATGGGCCACATTGGTGATGTCATTTAAGCTCCAAGAGTGCACAGGTCAAATAGAAACAGAACTAAGTATGTCTGAGCACATCCTTGCTCACTCTCTCTCTCTCTCTTTTCATCTGCCTCCCCTCTTTATCTTAGAGCTATCACTTCATAAATGCCCCGCTTGCCCCAGATTGTTCCATCAGAGTCTGGTTCTAAAGAACCCAACCTAGATCAGCATTGATGTGGGCAGATGACAAAACAAGGATCACATTCATTTCTGTGATTCAGAGTTTCTCTATAGAGACTGGGTTATTACAGGACATCCACATGCTTCTCCATATAGTACATGAAGGGGCAGGGAAAATTGCTCTCCTAACCAGTACAAAATGTGAATAGCTGTGTGTATGTGTAGTCCCTGTGCCCAGCAATAGTGAGAGGAATGAATTCTGGGAGCTGGGAGGGCAATGGGGCTCCTCGTGGCTTATGTGACACACAATACCAGAGAGCCCCTTTCCCCCAGGCTAGGTCATCATGGCTGTGACCATGGGCAGCAGCGCTGCCTCCTTCAGGAATTTTCTTCGGTGGCTTTTAAGCCTCCAGCTCAACAACAATTACCATCCACACAAGCTGAGCTTTCTTGAGAGTGATTGTTTCATGGGAACATCTGGTGTGTGAATGGAAGCCCTATATAGTTTTTTCTTTCTCCACCTAGTCAACACTACATGAATACTTTAAAATGATGCCTTGCTGTCTTCTGAAAGCTGGAGAATGGCTTCAATATTTAACTCTGTATTTACATTGCTACCTAAGTTGGTTTGCAGAGCGCTTGCCTGGCAGGAGGGGGTGCGAACCATGAATTGTATAACTTTTGGCTAATTGAAAGGAGAAAACACTGACACATTATCTTATACAACTATTACTAATTAAGTAGGACACCCTCGTCATTTCTAACTACTGCATCCTCTGGGGTAGATTTCTTTCTCTCTCTCCCCCGCTCTCTGCCTTTCCTCCTTTCTTTGTTCCTACCCTCTTTTTGTTTATATTTTAATACATCTGAAAGTATATTCTCTTTCACTTACCCACACCACATTTTGCTATGTGTGCAGAAGTTTTTATTTGGTAAGTTTTCCTTTCCTTTTCTTTTTTAAACTGGGGACTTGGCACTGAGAATGAACCTAGGGCCTTTGGACCAAGCCACATCTGCAACCTTTATTTTTTATTTTGAGTCAAGTTCTCACTGAGTTGCCTAGGCTGGGCTCAAACTTGCAGTCCTTTGCTTCAGCCTCCCAGAGCACTGAGATTTCAGTGAGGCACTGCCGTACCCCTGTTTCACCTGATACCTTGATGTCAAATACGTGCCAGCATTCAGCACCCTTTTATATATTTCCTTTCTTGCAACTCTTCTTTCCAAAGACCACAGATACTCCGATGGTTATCAATGAAGGTGTAACCCGGCCCACTGTTTATCCTTCTGTTGCCCTTCAGAGGAGTTGCTCTGGATGAGAAATTTTCTGTGGGACCCCTTTAGCACAGTGTAGCAACGAAGACCATGGGAATATGAATGAGTATTTCTGATTGGAGACCTTAGCCAATGGCAACCTCACTAACACTTAGTTTTCTTCTGCTTCAAAATGCTAATAAAATAGATTTTTTTGCGGTACCATTTGAGGATCATATGATAAATCTTGCATCCTACTTAGCTCCCATTTATCAAGTGCTAATCTGGATGCCTCCTAGTCTACATAGAAATCTTTTTTTATTAGTACATATGTGCAGTAGAGAATGTTTACATTCCTTGTGTGGAGTTGAAGATGTACATAACACATTTGGATTCCTTTCTTCACACCTTATACCCCCCATCTCTTAATTTCAATCTCCTTAATTCCTATTATGTATCTTCTGTTTTTTTCTCTATTTACAGTTCTGGTTTCTTATATCCACGTGATATTTAAACTTGTTTGTCTGACTTGTTCACTTAACATCTTGCTCTCAAGGGGCATCTATTATTCTTGTTAGCCGGTTTTTCATCCCCAGCACAGAAAAAATGGTTTGTACTTTGTAGTAAATTAGTCAATGCAAGTCAAGCTCTTCTTGGGAAAAAAAAAAAAAAAAAAAAAAAAAAAAAACTTGTTCAGACTGTATCCTTTTAGGAGAAAGAAACAAAGCAGACTGCCAAATGAGCTAAAGACCTTTACTGTCTGAAGAGATGAAACAGTGATTGTAAGCATAGATCAGCAGCAAGCACCCTGTAACCATCTACTGGAATCTAAGGTGACTTTGATCTGTCGGTGGAAACTTTCCTTCAACTGCTGCAAAAGTGCCCCGCCCCCAGATAGTGAGTTTCCTAACATTTCTTTTTCTTTCACTTCAATGAATCCTTATTTATTTTTTGACTCTAAACCATTTAAAGACAGGAAAGAGAGGAAATTATTTTCTGTGTACTCTGATATCTTGTGTAGAATATGGATTATTAAATTTTGTTGGAGACAGGATGTTACTATCAAGAAAACATAATATCTTGGATGAAACCTAAATTTATGTTGATTAGAGCTCTTTCCTTAACGTGAACTTAGGCTTTCCTATTCCAAATTGCCAGTTCTTGAGAGGTTCATTGTGTCAAGTTACCTATAGGGTATGATCAGTCTCTATCTAGCTCTGAGGTTGCTTGTTTCCATCTCTCCTCTCTGATTTCGTCTGCCTGTCTATTCTCTCTAGGTTCACTTGCCTTCTAGATCACATTCCTGTAACTATAAGGTATCAAGTTACAAGTCCTAGAATGAAGAGTAAGAGACGGGAGACCTACTTACTTCAGCTTGTCTTTCTGAACTCAGCAAGTCTCTGTCTACTGAATGACTGTCTCCCCGAAACCCAGGTGGCTGAGACCTGGGGAGGGGAATTCCGTAGACAGCTTGATCACATTCTCTTCCATGAGCATGTAGATGAGGTGGCTTCTCTGAGATGGGGTGGAACAGTTACTGCAAAGAGACATAACCGGCCAACTCTTGTCTTCTTTCTTCTCTCCTGCAAGCCTGCTGTATCTTTTATGAATTAAAAATGAGCAGAGGAAATATTCACTATTGAGCCTATGTTCGCAGGGTAAGAGCAAGGCACTCCCTAAGCATGAAACTTAGATTATTCTCTGAGAAGAAAGCTAGGAGAAAATCAACATATGGGAAATGAAATCAGCCATCTGTAGAAAAACCTACCCTATGTGATAAGCAATTGAACTTCCAGGTTCAGTGGTTTGGGTACCACCAGTCTCAGGAGAGTATGGTTGTTTAGCAGAGCTAAAGCTTCATCTCTCACGTGAAAAAGGAATATGTTAATAGAAGCATGTAACCTGCACAAAGAAAAGAAAATAGAAACCCAAAAGGTGAGGCTTGGAAAAAGAACATCCAATGCTTGTCTTTCTGGAAGATAAAATTCTCCATTATAAGTCAAAGAGTCTTTGATCTCGTGTTCTCGTTATCTCCACCTCAATCCCATCCGCTCTTCACCTTGCTGCCTCTGACTTCATGTCCCAGCACTCTTGAAAAATGTTTCAGACACTGTCACCAAAATTCTCAGATACTGGCTAAACTTTAGATACGAGTTCTAAAAAATTAACATAGAAAAAAGCTTCTGGAAATCTGTTACCCTTTTGGAACTCCTTCCTGATGCTTCAGATCAATGCATTCAAATCTCTTTGCCTCTTCTAGTGCCACAGCAGCTTTTAAAAATGGCTCTCCTCTCATTCTTCTGCTTTCGCTACTCTCCAAAATGCTAACACATCTATCCCAAGACTGACTGTCTTCCTTATTCTGGTGACACTCAAAATTTACCAATGACTTTAGAAGTCAAGGGAGATAGAATTTGTCCTCTGGTCTCTCTGTATTCAAGCACTAGCTCTTTGGGGATCAAGGGAAGATCTCTAACCTGAAGTTTACCAATTCTTGTGATATAAATATACTGACCATGGCTGTTTTAGTTATTCACTGGACATCTACCGGCTTACAGAATTCGCCAACATTTTACAAATTGCTCTTCAGAGAGAATGTGAGCCAGCTCTGGTACACTCTCGAGTCTCTTGAAAGCAGCCTCCTTTTAACACAGATCCCTTTAATTCTTTGTCCTCTTGCTGATCCCAACCACTGTCTTATACTGGGAACCTGAAACCATGTTGGCACTTAGTACAAAATACGTTGAACTAAAAGGAACATCATGCCCAATATCCAACTCCAATTTTTTTGGTGGGGGAAATCTTTTAGGTAATGAATTAGAATTCTTACCCTCAGCTGAGGTTCTTTGACAGGTAGCAACTCACTTCCTATGATCAACCTGTTGATTTCTGAATCTAAAGGCCAACTACCCAAACCAAGACTGTGGGGTCCTACCAAGAACCTACACACTCACATACCACCCTGTAATTCTCTATAAAACACTACAGGTAACAGATGCTGACACGTCTGCTGAAGTGCTGAAACATAGAGATATGACACTGTGTTACCATCACTGAAATAGGCTGCGTTATCAACTGAAATGCCTGCTAGAGTAGAAACTCATGCAGTTTAGAGAACTGCCCGAGTCCTAGGCCTCTCCTCAAATTTCAGCTTGGGCCATTGTGAAGGTAGTGGTCTTGGGAAACTTGTTTAACCTTTATTAAGCATTATCAAGCTTATTATAATAGTTAGCTTGTATTGTGAGGAAAGGGAGTGATATATGTAATAGAACTGAGGCTTAATAGTTATTCAGGAAATGATGGTTTGCGTTGTTAGAGATGCAACAAATGGCAACAGTGCTGCTTTCTCATAGACCTAAATGCATTCATGATTCATACCAATGTGACCTGCACATGCACAATAGGTACGAACTGATCCTTTATTGAATAAATGAGTGAATGAACAAACATAAAATAAAGTATTGAGTGGTTAAATGACTTGTCCTACCTAAGGAACAATGAAATGCTGTTTCTGGAGAATAAGGAGTGTCAAAAGTGTGTCTTGAGGCTAACAGCGATGATGTCTTAAGAGAAACTTTACAGGAAGTACCTGGTGATCCTGCTGCCAGGACAGAGAAGAGCACATTGTCTTGTGTTCCACAAACTGTCATAGATTCTATTAGTAGCGAAGGGACCTCAGGCTGTGCAGCTGGCAGTTTTGCATGCAGCTGAGGCTGTTTGCTTCAAAGAGGGGAGCAGTGGACAGTGCTGCTCTTTGGGAACCTCTATCAGGCAAAGACTGTTTCCCCTTCCTTAGTAGTACCTGGGTTTCTTGCCAGCTCTCAAATATGGTGACATGTGAGGCTGAGGCTGGAAAACCAGCCCTGCAAGACAGAAATTCCGGATAGATCTTCAAGAGGATCCAGGAACAAGAAGCATTCAAAAGATATAGTTAAAAAAATACTTTCCTTCCATCCCAGATGTGATAAAGCTATCGTGCTACTTTGGTGCTATCTAGAAAATTCCTTAAGGGATTAATTTATGTTTAAGCCAAGGGAGTCCTGAGTGTTGACTACAGTTAAACCCACCGGCCTCATGAACCAATTCAAATACAGTGGTTGACAGCAGCAGAGGTCCCATAAAGTCCCCAGAACCCAAGGATCTCAGTCCTGAGGCTGCACCATCACTCTGAGCTTTGCAGGGCCCCATGCAGTGAAGCTGATCCCTGCTAGATGACTCACCACAAGGTGGGTTAGGGCAGTTAGCATCTTTCAAAGATTGAATTTCTCTGTCCAAATGACAGAGAAGGCAAAGTGCCCTTTCCCCTGAGCTTCTCACAGCTACCCCAACTTGTACCAGGCGTTGACAGAATCCTAATTATCCCACAGTGTCCTTATGCTTTAATGACAACCATGACATCTGAGAATTCAAACTGCTGGACCACGGCCAAGGCTCCCTGGCAGGGAAACATGCTTTGTGGGGCATAGAATTGTTTAAATTGCTTTATGGAGGCATAATTACAGCACAATAAGTTTCACACAGTTAAAGGATACAGCTTGGTAAGTTTTAAACTACATGTACACGAAGCCATCAGCAGATTAGTTAAGAAGCATTTCCATTGTGAGCTTGCCCATTTACAATTCATCGCTTCCTCTGACTTCACCCCTAGAAACAGTGGCTCTCTGTCTCTAGACATTCATTTGTAATTTCTAAATTTTATATGTATATAATCTTATAGCATGCATTGGCTTCTGTATGACTTCTTCCATTTATTGTCAAAGTTTTGTGATTAAGCTCTTTTGCTGTATGTTTCTAGTATTTTATTCTTTTTTTATTTTCAAGTAGTATTCCATTGTATATTACTTATGTATATTGTATATCACTTACTTATATTGTATTACTTATATTACTTATGTATATTGTATTACTACATTGTATATTATTTATGTATATCACACATATTACTTGTACGAAGCTTAAGTACCATATTTTACAGAGATGTATTTTTTAGTTCATTCATGAGACAATGGACACTTGTTATTTTGCTGCTTTTGGCTATACATAACTGCCCTAAACTTCTGTGTATCCATTTTTGTGTAGACATATATTTGTAGCTGCCTAATGTCTGGAAATAGAATAACAGGAAAACATGATTTTGTATGTTTATCTTTAAAACAAGCAGCCACATCATTTTCCAAAGTGCACTTTTTTGTCTCTTACTAGTAGTATATGTACTTCCATCTGCCCAGTGATCTCTAATTCTTGACGTGGAAGGTCTTTTTTTCTGACGGGCATTCAACAATGTCCAGAAGTTTAATTTGAGTTTTAAAAACTACTGACATTGAACACTTTTACCTCATCTTTTCATTATTTTGTTGGTCTCACGCATATCTTTTTGTGCACTCGCTGTTCAGATCTTTCATCCATGTTTAAAAGTGACTGTTCGTTTTCTTTTCCTGTAATTGTGAGAATCTTTCATGTATTTTATGATGTCCTTCTCTGCTATGAGTTGCAAACATTTGCTTCTGAATCATGGTTACCTTTCATTTTCTTAATTGTGCCTGTAACGGTTTTCAATTGCACAAATCATATGACTTAAAAGAAAAGCGTGTATTACCACTGAGGCCAGCAGGTCATGAGGTTGGTGTGTTGAATATGGATGATCACAAGGCTGGAATCAAGGTGTCAGCTAGGCTCCTTTCCTCCCAAAGCTCTGAGTAAGTGTCTGCTTCCAATCTCCTTAGGGCCACTGGCAGAATTCAATTCCTCAGAGTCATACGTAGGACAAAGTTCCCTGCTTCCTCTAATTTCTAGGTAGCAATGTTAACTTTTCCTGCATTTGCAGGCTTTGTGGGTTTCACATTTGTCTTCCTCTTTAGCTTTCAAGGGCTAATGTGACTACTTTGCCCAGCACAGATGATCCAGTGATAGTCCTATTTTAAGGCTGCTAATTAGTAGGGTAAATTACCTGTGCAAAGTCCTCTTTGGTCACGTAAGGTAAACCTATCCACAGTTTAGGCATAGAATACTTTTTGGTTGGAGGAGGGTTATAATGAGAGTTATAAATAATTTTCTCTACCAGGGTTTCTTTCAAAGGGAAAAGGATGTTAATTCTGGTCAAGTCCAATCTTATTTTTCTGTTTTGTTATTTCTCATTCTTGATAATCAATTTCTACCTCAAGGTTGCAGTTATCCTTCCGATGCTTTGTTCTGATGTTTTATGGTTTTAGGTTTGTACCGATGTCTGTGATCTACTCCACATTTTGGGTGTGATATGAGGTTGAGAGTGAGTTTTGCTCTCCTCTGTATCAATCTGCAGTGGATCTAGAAACAGTTATTGGCAATGTTTTTATTGTCCTGAAATGAATTAGATCGTTTGCTTGTTGAGTGTGAGAGTTCCTTATGTATACTATGCACCAGGTGCTTATCAGATACATTTTCAAAATTTTTGTTTTGCTTCTCTGTGACTTTTCTTTCCATCTTCTTCACAGCTTTCCTCAAAGACCTTTCATGAAATATAATATAACCACTTTTCCCCCTTGTTTATGCATTTTGTATCTTATCTAAAAACTCTGTGTCTAACCTAAGATAATAAAAATTTATCCTACACTGTTAAAAAAACAAGGTTTTTTTTGTAAGTTTGATATTCAGGGCTATAACTCACATTGAGTTACATTCGATTCTAATGCAAAGTATTTGGTCAGTTACTTCATCCCTGTGTGTCTGTGTCTGTCTGTCTGTCTACCTCTCTCTCTCTCTTTCTCTCTCTCTGTCTGTCTCTCAGATAGAAAACCACTCTAAGAATCATTTCTTGAAAGATTATCATTCCTAAATGGATATATTAGCTCCCTTGTTAAACCTCAGTTGACCATTCATGTGTGGTCTTGGTTTTGGACAATTCTTTGTTCCTTTAATCTATGTCCTTATAGCAGTAGCTTTATATTAATCTTAAATCCAGAGACTATGACACTTCTAACTCTATTTTTCTTTATTAAAATTATTTGGGTTATTTTAGTTCTTTTGCTTTTCCATATAACTTATAGTATACTCACATCAGTATGATTGGTATGACATTGAATTCTTTGATCAGTTATAAAACAATTGATTTCTTAACAGTATTAATTTTACAGTCCATTAATGTGTTATATATTTTTGGTTTTCTTTTTTTCTTTTTGTCTTTTTCCTTTTTTATCGGTACCAGGGGTCGAACTCACGACTGCCTGCTTGCAAGGCAGGTGCTTATGCCGCTGAGCTAAATCCCCATCCCTATTTTTGGTTTTCTAAGTATTCTTAAATTTGTCTTAGAAATATTTTGTAGATTTTGACATGAAATGTACACATTTGTTACCTTTTTCCTAAATATTTCATAATTTCTGTGTTTTACAAATTGTAATGTTTCTCATTTTAGACTCCAAATGTCTTTATAGTGCAGATAAATACTAGCTTTATTATAGATTCATTGGGGCTCCTTCTTTCTAACCTTCCCTTACATGTCTGACGCCCTGTCAAGGAGATTCCAGCCAGGTCAGCTGCTCTAAATTCTGACCTTGGCCAGTTTAGCTCATGCTCATGGCCTACTGTTCCTGTAGGTTTTGTGCCACAGTCAAGGAATTATCCTACGACAGAAGGGTGGCTGGTAGTGGGTCTTAGCTTTTATTCTGGAAAGCTTTGTTTCACAATTTTGTTTAGTCTTCTGTTCAATCCTAAGAATGTTGCTGCATCCACAAGTATTTGTGGATGGAGAACCAGTTCATTCCAGTTACTCCATCATGGTAGAAATGGAGATGTCTCTCAGTTCATTTATGCTGACATTTATTAATAATTAATTATGTTTCTCCCTGTGTCTCTCACCTCAAATGCAAAAATGAAAATGAAGATTTCCCAAGCATGCTATTCTACATTGCAGTAAGTATCTATAAGATAAATAATAGGAGTGTAATTGTGTATGAGAAATGAGTAAAAAATTTTAGTAGATACTAACAAGTTACTGTAAAATTTATAACTCTGGACATCATATAGGGGAACATTTCCTAGTTTAGCACAGAGATCGGTAGATCTTTGATTAATGGAGTAAAGAAACAGTTCGTGGGAAAGGAAATATAAATGGCTTTCCAACATTTGAAAAGATCCATCTCACTTGTAACATTCAAGTAAAGATGCTATTTTTCCCTGGAATTAGTAATATCATGTGATGTCTACTTAGCTTACAGAGACTTACCAAGAATAATCCAAGAAGGAAGGAAGGAAGGACGAACTCTGGACAGATTGAAGAAATGGCGGGTCCACTTTCTTCCATCCCTGCTAATGCCCATCTGAGACCAGCACTAACCCTGGCTGGAGGCTCCCTAAAGCCTCCAAAGGCTGCTGACAAATCCTTGCTCCTCATTCTATAACACTGTCCCTTTGCATTCTAAGAATCGACTTTACCACTGGCATCGCCAAGCACAAATGATGGATTGCCTGAGCTGCTTCCACCAACACAAAATTTGCAGAGCAAAACAAAACCAAGTTCTGGGCCAAATTCTCAGCACACTTTTTAATTACCCCATTAAATCTTGAGCAGGACCATGTGAGCTTGCTCTGTTCTTGCCAACCAATCGTTCAGAGGAAGGAAACCTGTGGGAATGTAGAAATTGAGTCTCTTTTTGGATTAGGAAGATTGGATTTTTTCTACCTAACTGATTTTTCAATTCCCTTTTTGCTTTGGACATGCCATTCAACTTTAAACTCATGATTTGTAGTGTAGGCAGTCCTTAAATTCTGTGCTAAACATAACTATCAGATATTCTTATTTAGATTGGGACAGCTTGTTATTGTACGTATCTTTTTTTTTTTTTTTCCTGGAGCCTGTCAGTGAAAGGTCATTCATTTCATGTGTTACATAGGTTTCATAGAAACTCAGGAACCAAGACCAGAGATTCTAGGTTGGGTAGATTGATGAGTAAATATTCTTATGCCTGCATTTGAATCCCAGATCCATTCCTCATGCATACAAAAAATTGCTTAGCCTGCTTTTCCCATTTCTTTTTTCTTTGGTACCAGGAATTGAACTCACAATCTCACACTTTCCATGCAGTCGCTGGGCCACTGAGCTATATTCCCAGCCCTGAGTAATATCCCATTTGTTTGTATATCAACTAGAAAAAATAATACATAGTTGATAAGATTATGCTTAAATTACTTTACTCAGGTTAAGTGTAGAAATAACTTGTGTATTGGCAACTATTATTTTTGTGGTGGTAATTTATACTTTGATAACTGGGAATGGGGGCCGATACATCCATTATAGTAATTTTGAAAGGATATTATGTTCTCAGTACTGATTTGGCTTAGGAGTCTCTGTTTTGTGGAGTCTGCAGTCTCTTGAAAATTCAGTAGATAAGTTATGTGAGTGTTTAATGGAAGAATCAGAAGAATATCAGTTATTGCCATCGTTCACAATGGACAATTCCATTATTGGACTCCCAGAAACATCAACCAAGAAGCCAAGATCAGGAAAATAGTGATGTCAGGCTGGTGTTTCATCATTTTCTTGGTCTTCTTCAATAGACTCATAATTGGTCTTGGAAGGAGTTGAAAGTGCGGGTGTCCCCTCCTATCACTGGTCCTACACCAGGCCATCTGGCACCTTTAAATTTCAGCTCTCCCCTTGTCCATCCATGCTAAATACACATAAAGTTTCACAATGATCACATGACAGAACTCAGACTTCTTGTATATTTTGTATATGTTTCTCTCTCTGTAGTCTTACTGTACTCAACTACCCTTCTCAGGCTAAATTGAATTACCCACTATTCTCAGGACAAGGTCCATGCCAGCTATTACAAATCCCATCTCAGATGAAGTCATTTTGTTTGTATCTAAAGCCCCACAACATCTTGTTTTTGTCTTTTCTTATGCTATTCACAAGATTTGAAATGTCACAGTGCATTCTCCGGAATGACTACATTCAGACATAGATGCACACATGAAATTACATTTATATAATTCAACTATCCAAAGATATTATGGTTTAATGACCAAGCATTTTATCTCTCATGCCAGACACATGTTGGCTTAAGTCTTATCTCTGTCACTTAGTATTAGTATGACTTTGGGCAAGGGACTTAACCTTACAGAGCTGAGTTTTGTAGACTATATATTCCTCTGGGGTTGTTATTAGATAGAAGTGAAGTAATGTATACAAAGTCACAGTATGAAACTCGCAGTGACCAGTGTGTAGTGATTTCTCCACAAATGGCTTCTGAAATGCTATAAATACATAATTTATATAGGATTGTTAATCTAGAAGTTAGCACAGGGGTAGCACTTAAAAATGTTTTGATGAGTGAAAGAAAAAAATGATTTCTGATAATTCATACCCTAGACTGTAAAATTATGAGTTTATGGTAAGAGTGAAATATGGAATAAAGTAAAGGGAGATATCTTTTAGAGAATTTGGAAAAACTGTATTGTACCTTCAATATTGAAAGGATATGAAAAATCATAGAAAAAAAGACTAGAATAATACAGATCATGAATGTCGAGTTAGAAGGAAAGATGGAGAGGTCTGGAATGCCTTTATGTATTTGGCAAGGATGTGGCTAAACAGAGCCAATCACAAATATTTAACCATGCAAGACTTTCCTTCTCCTGACCAAGGAAATCAACAACCTCAGCACAGAGGTTCTGCTTCAACATAACAGTGAAAATGTGAATTTGTGTAAATACCTGTTTTGTCCTCATACGATGGCATCCCATGATAGGTGTTGTCACTTCCAGGGAGGACAGTGCTGACTCTCTGCACACATTTGGCAAATCACCTGTCTCTCTAGATCATGCTCACTTACAGCTGAAAGGAAAGAATAGTATCTGACAAACCTTCACTTTAGATCTTTTGGGATACTCAGGTGCAAATGCACTTGGAATAGTTAAAAGCTGTGTGTGGTTTTGATATGACTGTTATGGGATGGTAGTATTGTATTGTTTAAGCGAGCAGAGGTAGCAGTTATTGTGGTTAGAGTATATTACTGAGCTAATGCTGAGGAAATATCTGCTTTTATTGAATTTTCCAATATACTTTAGGTAAAGTTTGAGGCTAAAAGACTGGTATTGAGTCTTTCTCTATGTCTGGATGTTTGATTATGGAAATGACCCTGTGGACAGCTCAGATTTCCTTAGAACTCTCATGGATAAGAGTATTATTAATGTGGCCATGATAGTAGATTAAAGAGGTTCATAATTCTTTATGTTTCCTCTTCTTGAGAGGTGGGCCTATTGTTCTTCCTTTTAATCTGACCCAGCTTGTGACTGTTTCATCCAGGTAGTGTTGAAGTCATACACTGCCTCTTCCATGTCCAACACTGAAAGAGAACCAGCAGATCTGGTGACTACTGCCTCTTGGAGACCCGAGTCTCTGTGTAATAATTGGACTTCTCTGCAGCAGGGATCATACAAAGAAGCCCAAGACACTAAGTAGAGAGGGACTCTTGCTGTGTCCAGTCTTCACCTACCTCTGCAAAAGCACTGAGCATATAAATAAGCTGCCTTGGGGTCCCCAGACCAGTGCAGCTAGTAGCCAAACCCCACCAAGGGACCACCGTCAACACCAGGTACAGCTTTCTAGGAAAGCTTCTAGGCTTTCCTAGCTATCTCAAAATTCCTGACCTACCAAAAATCAGTAGGGGAGATACAAAGACAACTGTTTTAAGCCACTAAGTTTGGGGATAGTTTTTTTTAAACACAGCGTAATTTTATGATCAAGTTTCATGCATAGATTCTCATATGGCAGAACAAGGGGAATGATGCATAAAAAGGTCGCTGCCTTTGTAGTATCTGTTATTAGTGACAGGAAGCTATCAACAGAAAGTTTATTCATGCAATTCGAAGTGGGAGGTGGGTTCATTAGTCCTAAGTATCATTTAGTGTGATAAAAAGAGGGAACATGTCATGTAATTCTAAATTCAACCTACATCAGTTTCTAATAATTTCTCATTAAGTTTAAACAGGCTCTATCGCAGTTTAAGGACTATCTCATGCCCGCATTATAATTTCTTGCCCAGAATCCATTTACAGATGAAAGTAGTGCATATTTCTTTAAAAGCACTTGATACGGAACGTTTGCTATCTTACCACAACTTGTACCTCAGAAGTGGGACATATTTTAATTAATTAAGCTTCACAGTGCCTCTGTAATGGCAAAAAAAAAAAAGAATAACAAGGAATTGTTTTACCCACTACAGAAACCTAGTCACCTCTTGGGTGGCACACACCAGCTGTTTAGCAGCTGTAAGGGAATCCTGAACTATTATTCTGGACAGCCTTGCTAAGGAGAGTAACACATCTGATTGAAATTGCAAAGGAAATGTGAGCAGACAGGATGCAATTACCTGGACTGGATCCCCGCCAGTTCACCGGGGCTAAGAGACAAGCAGCTTGAACTGGAGAGCTGGCCTTCTGCATATTTCACAGATTCCTGGGGCTGTTGAGCGTCTTGGTTGGACAGCAATCAGCTGCTGTGTAAATCCATGATCTTGAACCTATATTACACCCCCGAACGTGTTCCTTTCCACAAGATATGGCTATTCTATTAAAGCTATTCGGGAGCAAAGGCCCACGGGAACCCAAACCATGAACAAGGACAGACAAGGTGAAATAACTTAAGATTGAGACCACTTATCCTGACAGTTCAAGGATGCTCTTTTAGCTTCTAGCAAATAGTAAGGGAAATGTCACAGATAGCTACATAAGAATAGCATATTCTACACAGATAGCAGATATGGAATAGTATCAACATTTTAATAGATCAGAAGTTCATGAGATAAAGGATGTCTGGGTTCATGTTTAAGGCACTGAGGCTCACTAATCTATTTAAAAGTTAAAAAAAAAAAAAGAGAACCAAAGATAGTGGTATTAATCCTAGTATTGTGAAACAGTTTTGTGTGATAACGGATGCAAACTATGACTAGTATCTTTATTTCCTTGCCTGGAAAATGAGATTTTTAGATGATATACATCCTAATAACCCTCCCAACCTAAAACTCCATCAGTCACTGAAACTAAGGGGCTATTGTTAGTTTCTATCTTTTCTCTTAATCTTTCTTCCTTTCCCTTGCCTTCCCTTCCCCTATCTCCTCCCTTCTCTTTCTCTTTCTTTGTTACTTTCTTCCTTCTTTTCTTTTTCTTTCTTTCTTAAATGTCATTATCTTTCTATCTTAAATATCATTCTATTTATTGGAAATTTAAACACAGATTTTTATGTTTATCAAAAGAGAATACATGCTTATAAAAAATCAAGCAGAACTGCATTTGGCTATTTTGTGTACAATACATTCTTAATTTTGTAAAGGCATGTTTAAGTGAAATGATTAAAATAGCATAGCGAACTAAAATTTATTTGAAAAGAATATTTTTAGTATAAAAAGAGCTGATTGCAGCTCCTTCCCCCCCTTACCAACGTCAGAGTGTCTTAGTTAAGATTTCTCGGTGTGGCTGACTGAATAATCTATGCTGACAGCCAT